CTTCCTGATCTCCGCCTCCTCCTCCACCTCTCCCTTCTCCTCCTCCTCCCCCCCTGGTCATCGTCGATGTCTTTCAGGGTCGGCGGCACCGGCCGTCAGGCCTCCACAATAATCACACAGTGCAATCAAAATGCCCAACCATACTCGACAAATCATCCCCGCTTGTTTTAAAACATTTCTTACAAACAAGTATTCCCCCTGTAGAGGGACATGCCCGACTTAAACGTAGGTGGTCTAGAAGAGCTTTCTCTTCCAACCCCCTTCTCTTCCTTTTTGGGGAGGGGTTGATCACTGTTCCCTATGAATATACACCCCTTCCCCCAGGCGACTGGCGGCCAACCAGGAACCATGCTCATCCCCCCCACCACCCATGTCAAAACAAAAATAGACAACGCACTCTGCCTCCAAATTTGGAGCATACGCGGCAAACCCGATGCGCCCCCCCCCCCCCCCATCGGTCAAAAAACAAAGTACACTTTGGACGCAACATCTTGAGTCATGTTTGTGAGGCCCGCGAACACTCTCTATCGTTTTTGACAGGGACGGCGGGGGTGTCAGCATTTTGCCTGCTGTGCGCAGGGCTACCATCCCTAACAAAGAAACAATACAAAATGCACCTCGCGGCTAAATCTGGATCATGCGTGGCCACCCCGCGATCAATGCCAAATGCTTTTGACAGGGACGCCAGGGGTGGTGGCGTATGGCCTGCGTTGCGCAGGCCCACCAGACACAATGACGGGCATTGGTTCTCGACAAGGATGGTGGGTTCCGACACGTTTCCCGATGTGTGCTGTCACGTGCGCAGGCGCACATGACACTCTTTTTTCCCTGCGCGAAGGATCCCACTGGCACGACAGACGACGGACGAACGAAGGACGACGACGAAAAACGACAGGAGGGCGCGCGAGGGGGGGAGGGGCGGGAGGGGAACAGGGGAGGAGGGCCCAGGGGGGGCCGCGCGCGCGGCGCCAGCCCCCCAGAGGTCCATCATGTTCGGTTGTTGAACATGATGTCTATGTTCGTCTAAACCGAACGTGGCCATGTTCGTTTTTGAAAATGAGGTGGTGCGTTCGAACATGAACTCAGTGGCGTGTTCAACCACACGCTCATCGTGCGCTAGCTGCACGTTGCGCGCGATCATTGCGCGACGGGCCTGCAGGTCCGCCGTTCCGCCCCAACAAGAAAGAGGACGACGAGGAAGGGGGAAGGAAGATCGGCCCGATCGTTGCTGTGTTCGCTTGCATGCTGCGTGCTCGCTGCTTGCACTCAGCCCTCCTGTGCGCTGGGCCCTCGATTGCGGTGCAAAGTCAAGCTTGTGGGTACACGTAATGCGGGATGACGATTAGTAAACAAATTGGGAGAGAACGATTCAAAAAATAGCTTTCTGCTATTTCTGCACGAATTTCTGACTGCAGGAGAACGAGAAAGAAATAGTTTTCCAGCCCGCGGCCGGTTTTTTCTGATCGTCATCCTGGGCGCCGCCGCGTGAACACGACCCCCGGTCATTTATTAATCGTCATCCTCCCTTACACGTACTGCAGGTCCGTGCCGTGTCGACCCTGGCGTTGGTTCCTGACACCGCGCTGGATCGTTCAACCTTGAACGATCGGCCGTCTCCGCAACGTCCGATCGTTCAACATCGACCGATTCTGGGCCGCCGTCGGCGTTCAACGTTGAATGTCGGCGGCGGGGTCGCCGCTGGTCGACACGACGCGAACCTACCGTACGGCGGGGACTTGGGGCCGTAGGGTGTGCTGCAGCATCGCTGATGGACCTTGGGTCTGCTGTGGCCTTCCGCCCCCTGTACGGTTTCCCCCGGGGCCGTAGGCGACCCGAGGAGGAGGAGGAGCAGGAGGAGGAGGAGGAGGAGGAGGAGGAGGAGAACGTGGAGGAGGAGGTAGAGGGGGAAGGGGAGGAGGAGATGGAGGAGGAGCAGGAGGAGGAGGAGGAGAAGGAAGAGGAGGACGGGTCGCCTAAGCCCTTCGGAGAAATCCTCCACCGCCCCCCTCTTGTTGCTACACCTGCGGACGAGCCAGCGGCGAAGGGCCTCCTTTCTCGGGCGCCGCGAGCGGCGGAGACCCCTCCGGATGTCTCCGAAGCTCTCCCGAGGTCTCCCCGGAGGTCTTCTGGAGGCATTCGCTGGCCTCGCGGCTCCCCCACAGGCTGGCGCGGCTCTGGCCTCGGGGTGCCTTCCATCGGCTGCGCCTCTCCGAGAGCTTTCCGGGGGTGCCCAGATCGTCCCGCACGGCCGCCGAGAGCCGGAGTGGTGACCCGAAAGAGCACTTAGAGGGTAGTGTTATGTCGGGCGTGTCCCCCTACAGGGGGAGTTTCGACGAAACATCAAACATACCAACAAAAATGCCTTAGAAAGGCCCAGAAATAATCCAAAAATAGTCCCCAGACTATTTTTGATGATTTTTACCTAACAGCGAAGACTGATAGGTTTCTAGTGGGGTCAAAATAAAGCATAATGACTCCTCAGGGGGGCGGGACCCGGCGCGGCTGCCGTCGAAGCCCAAATCGCTTGGGACATCCTCGCAAAATCGCTCTTGGCGCTGCTAGAACTCCATTCCCGGCGTACATTTTGGATGCCCGGAGCCAACTGTAGGCCACTTCGTGCTCTTCGACTTCCCACAATTCAATTCCCGGCGTACATTTTGGATGCCCGGAGCCAACTGTAGGCCACTTCGTGGTCTTCGAGTTCCCAGAACTCCATTCCCGGGCCACATTTGGGTGCCCGGAGCCAACTGTAGGCCACTTCGTGCTCTTCGAGTTCCCAGAACTCCATTCCCGGGCCACATTTTGAATGCCCGGAGCCAACTGTAGGCCACTTCGTGCTCTTCAAGTTCCCAGAACTCCATTCCTGGGCATGATTTTGAATGCCCGGAGCCAACTGTAGGCCACCTCGTGTTCTTCTAGTTCCCAGAACTCCATTCCTGGGCCACATTTTGAATGCTGAGGCAGGCTGATGCTGCGGCCGAGGCAGGCTGAGGCTGAGGCAGGCTGAGGCTGAGGCCGAGGCTGAAGGCAGACTGAGGCTGAGGCTGAAGCAGGCTGAGGCTGAGGCTGAGGCAGGCTGAGGCTGAGGCTGAGGCAGGCTGATGCTGAGGCAGGCTGAGGCTGAGGCTGAGGCTGATGCAGGCTGAGGCTGAGGCAGGCTGAGGCTGAGGCCGAGGCTGAAGGCAGACTGAGGCTGAGGCTGAAGCAGGCTGAGGCTGAGGCTGAGGCAGGCTGAGGCTGAGGCAGGCTGAGGCTGAGGCTGAGGCAGGCTGAGGCTGAGGCTGTGACTGCGACTGCCGTTGCCACTGCGACTGTCATCGCGAATGCGACTACGACTGCGAGAACAGCAGAATTCTACAACTGGATTCTCATCTGAATCTTAAGGGGAATGCTTCCAGACATGCTCCTACACATCGCTGTTAGGTTGCTTTGCCGGGATAATTTGACTATGTTTGGGGTATTTATTATTTTTCGTCGCAAATCCCCCTGTTGGGGGGACAGGCCCGACTTAATTAAGGATTGTGCGGCGCAGGGGGGGGGGCCCGTCGACAGCCAGCCGCCCGTGGACCGCCCGCAGTGCCCGACGGCGCCCTCCCGCTTCGCCCCTCGCCCGGCGCCCGTGCAGAGCCCAGGCGTCGTAGGCTTCTCGCAGCGTGGGCGTCGCAAGCTTCTCGCAGCGTGGAGGCCCGGGCTGGAGGCCTGGAAATGGGCACCAACACCAACAAGGGGGATGGCCTCCACAGGGGGAAGATGATCCTCGACTGCGGTGTTGGTGGCAATATTCCGGCCACCTTGGAAGCCAGAATATTACCACCATCACCGAGATCGGGATCTTCGTCCCTCGGTGGAGGCGCACCGCCGATCTTGGTGTTGGTGTCAACCCTAGGCCTGCGAACGGGGTTGGTTCTGGACAAATCCCATGAGGCTGCGACAACGGAGGCCTATTGCGTTCACGCAGCGTGGGATCGTGCGATGGAGGCTGCCACGAGCGAGGGCAGTCGGGCCACACTACCCGATCTCGAAGGCATCGGGCAGCACGTCGATCGCCCGGAAAAGTATACGGGCCGAGCTCGTCGCGCAGAGCCCCGCTGGGATGGCTGCCTCCGTGGGCCTCCGTGGGCCGTGCGCTGCGAGTCCTTCCTGTTCACGGCCCCGGGGCCTGGCGAGGGCTTCCTGGAGAGGCCGAACGTTGACCACAAGCCATCGGTCGGAATTCTTCCGCACCGAAGCAGTGGGCCCGTTGTGGGGCATCGGATAAGGAGCCCTTCGATGAGGGGTCCTCCAGTCGTGGATCGGCCACGGGTTCAGGGCCGCGGAGCGAGTCCTGCGGCCGGACCCCTCGTAGGGTCTGGATGCCAGTGAAACTCCGATCTCCACTCGTGGATCTGCCGTGGATGTCACCGCCCGCCTCCTTGGACCAGGAATCCTCTGGGATCTGGCTCCTCCCGGGACTGTTCCTACAGCCCTCACACCTCGCCATCGCTCGACGTCAATCCATGTGTTTTGCCGGATTCGTGCGTTTGGAGCTCTCGTTGCTCATTTTTTTTTTTTTTTTTTTTTTTTTTTTTTTTTTTTTTTTTTTTTTTTTTTTTTTTTTTTTTTAAATATATATATATATAATATATATATATATATTATATATATTATTTATATATATATATATGATCAAGGATGCTCCTCGATTGTCCTCGCCGGAGGACAAATGCACACGATCGAGCGATGCCAGGACCTCGGGCCTCGAGGGTCGGAGCTGGAGGGAGGAGGAGGGGGTTGAGCATCGTTTCACCGATCCCCATCCCCAGCGGCGTGACCTGGGCCCCACGGGCCGATTTGCCCTCCCTGGATGGGGATGCAGGCCGCTCCCTGCGGGTTTCGAGGGGTGTATCCACAACTGGGGTGGCAATCTGGTGGGGGTCTCGAAGGGGAAGGGGATGGGTATGGGGATCGGGTGAGCGATACTGGAGGGAGGGGGAGGATTGGGTGGGGAGCCCCGAGGGCGCCTCGAGCTTCTGCACCGTGTCGCGCTGGCTGGGGGGCAGGAAGAGCAGCGAGACGCCGTCGTGCTGGACCCCCTCCGGAGGGCTCCGGTCGGGCGGGCTGCGGGAGAGGGGGCCGCCTCTTGTCGGGGCGATGGGGCCTCCCCTCGCGGGGAGGGTAGGCTTAAGTCGGGCCTGTCCCCCTGCGGGGGGATTTTGGACGAAAGATAAAAGATACTCAGAAAATGCCCCAAAATGGCCAACACATATTTAAAAAATAGTCCCCAAACTATTGTTTAACTATTTCCCTACCTAGGCTCTGCCTAGAAGGGTTCTTCTTCTCTTAGCTTAAAAGGGGCCGGGCAGTGGAACACGCCCTGGGCGGTTCCCCCAGTCCCCTGGGAGCGGTTCCCCCAGTCCCCTGGGAGCTTTAGGTTTAGCTTTAGGTTTAGCTTTAGCTTTAGCTTTAGCTTAGCTTTAGCTTAGTTTTCGTTTAGCGTTAGCTTAGCGTTAGCTTAGCGTTAGCTTAGCTTTAGCTTAGCTTTACCTTAGCTTTCGCTTAGAGTTGCCTTAACTTTGCCTTAGCTTTAGCTCAGCTTTAGCTTAGACTTATCTTACATTTAGCTTAATTAGCTTCAGCTTAGCGTTAGCTTAGCTTTAGCTTAGATTTAGCTTAGCTTTAGCTTAACTAGCTTCAGTTTAGCTTTAGCTTAGCTTTAGCTTAGCTGCAGCTTAGCTTTAGCTTAGCTTTAGCTTAGCTTTAGTTTAGCTGCAGCTTAGCTTCAGCTTAGCTGTAGTTTAGCTTTAGCTTAGCTTTGCCTTAGCTTTACCTCAGCTTTAGCTTAGCTTTGCCTCAGCTTTAGCTTAGCTTATCTTAGCTTTAGCTTAGCTTCAACTTAGCTTCAGCTTAGCTTTAGCTTAGCTTTCGCTTAGCTCAACTCCCAGGTAGGGTCGCACTGGGATAATTTTGAACATTCCCCCTGTAGTGGGACAGGCCCGACTTAAGGGTAGGCTCAGTGTCAGTGGGATGTACGGATCCCCAGTGCCTTATTCATCGCCGATGAGGGGCCTTCTGGCCTATCCCTGCCCACAGGAACGTTCGGCTTCGCTGGCGAGGACATGTTGCTGGCAATTCGGCGACATATCGCCAATTCCAGCTCGATGTTTCCCCCCTGCCCCTCCCAAACTTCCAAGAAAGTATGAAGAAGACAAACATGATGATGTTTTTCGCTCAGAGAATGGCTCTCCATGAAGTCTGGGCCAGTTCTTCCCCGGCAAGCTTTTCATCGACAGGATTCGACAGGCTCCATCGAGTACTCCCAGCTGGCCTGGACACGCCCCCAAAATAGTCTTGCACGGCTTCATCACCTCAACCCGCCTAAGGGGCATCGCCGGAGGCGGCGCCAGCGTGTTAAGACCACATGCTACTCGGGGGTGGCCTTTCGAGGCCAGCCAGGGCTACCGAAGCCGCCTCTTTACGCGTGCGGCCCGAGGCCCCGAAAGATGCTCCTGAAGTTATGCGCCACCGCGCTTGCGGCGGTTGGCGGGCATCGGGCGTTTTCATTCATAAAATCGTTCCTGCTGCATCGGCAGTAATAGCCCCCGAACCATCGAACCCAACATCGACTCACACCTGGGGCCAAATCC